ACAATCTGAACAATTGTTTAAGTATTTTAGCAGAAGAGAGGCTGACCTCTGTATTTCCTGTCACAGCAGAATGCAACAGTCTGTGCCAGTTCTTTTAGGGATATGGTGAGCTTTTTGTTCACTTCGGAAAATTCTAAAATGTCACTTGCACACTAATGTATGTCTGACAAAGCTAATCTGGTGGCAAAACAAGAAAAGGAGGAAGAAATACTATTTTTTTAAAACCATTTAACTTAGTTAATGATAAATACAAAACCAGAAAAACAGTTCTTCTCTGAAGGAAGCTAGCTGTCAGCTACCTAGAGCCCTGTTTTCCTTCACCTATCACATAAATGGCATTATGCAATACATATACTCAATAACTTTAATTTACAGAAATTACATTTTCCCATTCTTATTCTGGAGTTCAAAGGTATAAGGAAAAATGTGTTTTACAGTATGTAGTCTTCAAAAATTCTAAGTAGAAATGCAGACTGATGTAACTGTCCATGAATGAAACCAAAATTTTTTTAAAATTTAATGTTCCTAAAAGGATTGAACAACAAACTGGCTGTTTACAAGGATGTTCAAAACAACATGGGTAAATTCTTCTTCTACAGGATGGAAAGATAGTCTGTAATAGGCTCACTTGCTAAGGAGAGCTTTTTTACTGTGTTAAGGAAGTGTTGTATGTCCCATTGATTTATTTTGCAGAAACTGACAAAGGAATTCAGATACAGAATTCAGTAAAATAAGAAAAACCTGAAGCTTTGTAGTAAGTAGCCAGTAACATCTGTTCCTGTTTTCTCTAAGGGCTGTAAGCAGTCACATAGTATACGTCTCATACACTGTCCAAAGTGCATGTGCCAACCACCCACTTAAGAACTTAAAAGTGATAAACAAAAAGAGAAACTTGAATAGCCTATTTAAGAATTATCTCTTTTGGTGGCTAACACTAGACTATGCTGATGGCAATGAAGTCATGCTGCCACTAAGTACTGCTATACAGGACACTTTAGAACTCCAGTATGAACTGAAGTCAGAGATATGCTACAGTTGATATCCCTAATGCATTCTATGATTCTATGATGATTCTTCTTCATCTCTTTGCCAGCACAGTGTAGGCCACAGTCAGCTTTCACTTGGAGGGATATCCAGTACACCTGTAATGAATTGCCCCAGAAGCAGAAACATAGCCCCAATATTTGCCACGCTCCCGTTTTTACTGCACATTTTAAAGACCAGTT